TAACATACATAATGCATTTCAGAGTTCAAAATAGGTGATAATTAAATGGGACAAGGTGAGGGCTGTATAGTGGGTGATCAAAAATCTCATGCTTCAACTGGCTTATAGTTCCATAGTTTGGCAAGCTTTATTAGGGCAATCATTATCATGCATTAACCCTTTTGGCATGTATTTGGATCTTACTGCTGGTACTCTGAAATTGTCATTTGGGCACTAAAAATTCCCCATTACTGAGTTCATTTGGCCTAATTTTTCGTATATATCACTGAAATGTATGTTAAAGTTTATTTGCAGAATCGGTCATTTTGCAAAATAACTAATTCCGTCAATAAAAAAGGAGCATATACAAGAAGACAAACACACACATTCTATAAGTTCTGATATAATGGTGCTCATATCTTCCCTACAATATGATGAAAATCTGAAGAAAATTGAAGAAGTCTGTCAAGAGTTGCTACCATGTGCATCTTCGCTGAAGCTTTGTTTACAAGCAGTGGGTGGCATCACTCCCACTCATAAAGCAACTCCCATTCCTGCCATGAGGGTGCTGCACATCCATTTCATGACAGGTGTTTCAAACTTTGGTGATAGATATCGATAATTATATGGGTTTATTTGGTTTATTTTTTTACAGTGGTGGAGAAAAGTCGAACATCTCGTTCAGTGACATTAAAAATTTGTTAGACATTTGTCGAGTATAGTGACAAAAGGGTTAAAACGACTCCTGCTGATTACCTTGTGCATATTGTCTGAATCACAGGGTTCATATTTTTATGCAGCATGATGCTAAACCTTGCACTGGTTACCATGGTTTCATGTTCTTGATAATGAACAAGGAATGGACCCTTGGAATCACAGAGCATTGTAAGCCTAACATTACCTGCTGATGATTTGAGTTCTGGATTTTTTTGGAGGAGACATTGCCAGTGATGATATGAGTTAGAAACTGATGTCCTTCAAAGTGATACCCGGTCAAATGGCAGTTACAGATGTCGAATCAGTTGCACTTATGCTGGTTCCCCACTTGCTTTGAAATCCACCATGTACAGTCTTGTTCAAGATTCTTCGAACACTGCTGGAAACAGCTGTCAACTCAAGGCCATTTGTTTACGATAGTAAGTAGTATAATATAATACGAAATAACAAAGCCCAACCATTAATTAAGCATCGGGGAATTAATTAACCAATCACCAATCACCTTTACATTCATTCATAATTTTTTCTACATACTATAGTAAACAAAAGGCCTTGAGTTGCCAGCTCTTTCCAGCAGTGTTCGAAGAATCTTGAACAAGACTGTACAAACCTTGTGGTGTTTGATCTGTCATGGATTAGTGCATAGGAAGAACCTTGGCTTACTTCAAGGATTCTTGTGCCTGAACTACATTAAAGCTCTGATTGTCCTTTGGATGACACAGATATTGTAGTGACTGATTTTTATCTGTTGTTTCTTGATTTGTCTTTATTGACCCTCACCATCATGAATGCAAAGCAACCAAAAAGTAACAAGAGTGATACTGATAACAAAAGATAAAGAAAATTTATTTCCTTAAAAATGAAAGTTAAAGTGATTGAATGATTTGAAAAGGGAGAGCACACTACCGACATAACAGATGCAATGGGCTTTCATGAGGCAACCTTAGGTATCATTTATATTAATGCAGGTTTTACAACAGTTCACTACTCTTACTGTAACAATATAGTACTGTGGCAAGTTATTCTTGTACACAACTCATGCTGGCTCATCTTATATTCTGCAATCTTTTCTTACATATTATCATTCTGTTCTCTGTGTTACTTAATAGTACTGTTGTACTTAAGGCAAACAAGCTTTATTATTTTTTACTGTGTACATTTTCAAATGTAGGACCTAGGCATTGCTAGATATGAAAATATCTTCTACTCCTTATTAATATTCTTAAATACCCTATTTCTGCAACTATTTGAAGTACTGTAATAGCATTTTTAAACAATAGTAAATATTGCAAAAATCAATCTACAAAAACTTTTATACATCAAGGAATTTGGATAGATTAGGTACTTACTGATAAAGGTTCCAGGTGGCAGCATTCTAGTTTCATCATCAGATTTTAGTTGGCTTCAGTATAATATACAAATGAGTCAGTTCTTCAGAAAGTCCTTTAAAAACATTTGGCATTCATTTTTAGATTCTTAATTAAATATTAAAGTGCTTTGTTCTGGAAGATAGTGTCTGTACAGTACCCAACACTTCAAAGCAAGCAGTCACCGTTTCTGAACTCTTACAAGCATTACTATCTATTAATGTCAAGCTGTACCTACTATATTTATCTTATTATTTCCATTAGTGAACAACCTTTAGAATCATATTGGAATTCTTTTCAAATTAGTTCTATGCCTGAAATTATGTGTTTATATTTACCGGTAGTCTCAGCTTATATATTTGTTTTATTCCTACCCAAGTCTAACCACTATATTATGGTGTGGATTTCAGTATTTTCAGGTACTTCCCATAACAAAAAAGTTCCCCCGAGAAATGAGTTTTCTATTATAAAGTACCTTTTTATTTTGTAAACCAATACCATTCTGGTGCATTAGAGTATTACTGTATATAATAACTTTTTTAATTAATTACATTAAAATTACTAATAAAGTGTTTAAGTGTATAATAACATATTTTTATTTCTTGGGTTGGAGCTAGGTAGAATTTAGCCTATTGGAAACAGCAACTGGGGGATTCATTAGCCAACAGAAGAACACAACTTCTCCTAAAGGACCCAGGGTGATTTTTTTTTTGTATTTTATATGTCACAAAATATGGTATTTATTAACCTTTCCCCCCCCCCCAAAAAAAAAATATTTAATGAAACATCAGTACAGTATTAAAGCTATCTAATATTTCACAAAAAAACAAAACAAAAAGTAAACAATTCTTATGACGCCACTTTTTTTCACTTCAATGATTCCATTTCAAAACACTTTTTAAAATTGTTTAACTCTCCTTTAGTCTGAACAACTGCTTCCTGGGCTACATTTGTTGAGACTCAAGATGATTTATGTTGTATTTGAGTGGCATATTACAATGCTGGGTGATAACCTTAACGGATGATGCGCCCACTCATGCTGCCATCTAGTGAGGGTAGCGAGAACTTCCCGTGTTTTCATCAGCTGATTGACATTTTTCATTTGATATTTATTGAACCTTGAAAAATTTATATAATGAAGCATACCTGTGAAAGATATTTTTACTTCGGTTTTCTAATACGTATAGTATTTTAGTTACCTTCCTGTAACATCTCGTTTAGAAACCGTTCTACAGTTTTCTTTCACACCTACCTTATCTTAATCAATGAAAGGTCAAGAAATGAAGCTTTATGTGGAACTTCCCCTATTGATAATCATATTATCTAATCACTTGTTTTTAGATGATGTTGATTTAATTTCACTGATCTAAATTTGAATGTGTTAGGTTTAGACCAAAATATAAAGATCATGCACAAAAATGAGTTGCGCCTTTTCATCCCAAAGAATTTGTTGTCAAAACTGAGAAGATTGCCATGAGGAATCATCACACCCCATGTCCAATTTTAAAATTTAAAACCTATTATAGTACTGTAATTTTAAACTGTTGTGCTAGTCAGTAACTTTCTCTTTGTGAAATGTAGGATGGGTTTCCCCTTTTATAAAGAGGGTATTTGACATCATTACTAAACTTCTCACATCAGCTCAGCCTCACCCACTATCTCACGACTTGAATAAATGTGCTTCTTTACTTAATTTCATTGGAAATATGAGTCTCTCAAATCAGGAAAAAAGAGATGCTGCTTGATCTTATAAGTAACCCTCTGTGTAACCCTTGGGAGTAAATAGTTCCAAATACATTGACTCCTTTGTATCTTATGGGTTATATCTCATATCACCCATAAAGAAGAACTAAGAATGTATAGTCCCTTTTTTATGGCTGAGGAAGGATAGTGACATGGCCTAATTCCACTCACCTCCTAAGATCTTGTAATTAGTAAGGAATATGTTATTGGTCACTTGAGTTCATGATTGGAAATCACTGATTTGGGAAGTTGATATCGTAGCATGAGATAGGATTCATGAAGCTATCATTTAAGCCCCAGTGACCCAGTTGTGCACTGAACCACAATTTGTTCAGTCTGTATTTGTGCAATCCACTAAGAATGTTCACAGTACAGTACAATATTGCACTAGTTTGATGGCTAAAGAAGTACAGTACCAGTAATTGAAATAATAATATCACAGGACACTACCTTAACTCTCTTCAGCCATGAAATGGAACTTCACAAGCTCAGTTCAAGTACTTTTAGTCATTTGTCAGAAATGATTAATATCTTCATTTCTTATTTATTGGTAGTAATTTCCTTGTATCTTCAGTGCTTGTAAATCTTTGTTTTGATCTTGAAAGAATATAAAAATCTTGATTATATGCATGCATTAACACATTATTACTATGCATTTGCTGTAGTGCTATGTAGTTTCTTGATATCACAATTTGGCAAAGTAATTTTTTGAGCACAGACTTTGATGAATATGCCATAATTAGTTGTTTTTTCTCAATATCATGTTGCTTTGAATATAAAATTTAATTATCTTTCTCTTTGTATATATATATATATATATATATATATATATATATATATATATATATATATATATATATATATATATATATATATATATATATATATATATATATATATATATATATTCTTGTGTTGTCACCTGCCATTTTACATTATTCAGTATTTAATTTTGTCTTACCTAAAGATCTACTGTATTTTACCTTCTTTAATATTTTAACATATTTTTAAATTTGTGCTCCTACTATGAATTTATTAGTGCTGTAATGGGTTGTGTAGATGCCTTTTCAGAAATAACTGCTTTAACTATTCTTCTTGTGGTATACAGTAATTAAGTACTAATATACACTATTAAATTGCATGAACTTGCTTGGGTTTTTTGATTGCATGAATACTGTAATTGCATGTCTTTAGGTCTGATGCTCGAGCTTAGGCCCACCAAGGTTCTCTTCAACCGACACAGCAGTGAAGTTTATGAAAATTTTACATGCTTATACTACTCCTATGAGCCACTTCGAATCGCTTTTACACGCGAACCCACATTAGTAGAAGATGGTGTTCCCATGGCCCTCACGGATACTCAGGCACCCCACAGTACAGAGGAATACACCAATGGGGCAAAGCACTTTGCTGTCCTGCGCCTCCTCAATGGCCATAAGACTGTCACTTGCCGGGTTTATGATGCTGATAACATGGAAGTGGCCCAGATGGTGTCACAAATTATGTATGTCAGTCAAAAACGGAGATCATGTAAGTCACTGACCTTTTATATGTTTTAGACTCAATTTTAAGTTAGGTTATATTTTTAATCAGTTTAATATAATAATTAGATTACATCTTCTGATATTATTTATGTTTTATAATTTACATTAACTATATTTTCAGCCTCTCATAGGTCCTATTCTTTTCCTATTTATATTTCCAGTATATTTTTAGAAGCCAGGTGGTGTCCTATAAGATTAGGATAAGACTAGAATCAACATTTCATCATCCATAATGTAAACCAAGGTTAATATTTTTTAACTCATTCGAGTATACCAGTCAGTTTTCCTTCCCCATCGTGCTGTCTGTCTACCTTAAATGAGTAGATGACGTGCAATATTTGCCTCTTAGAAGCTAAGAGGTGCTATGTGAGCCAAGCAAAGCCAAGCCAAGGCTCTACCACCCTTCTTTATATTAATTAATAACAGGTTATGTAATGGGTTTCATATGACTAAAGATGTGTTCAAAAAATGAGTGTAATAACAGTAAGAGTGACAGGGTTTAAGGGAGGAGTGAGGAAGGTAGATGGTGTTCACACAGTGAAGGGAAGAAGTGAGAGGAATATGATGCGTAACAAGTAGCCATTGAGAAAGAGGGTGAAGGTGGATAGGTGGGCGACTGACGGAAAGCCAGCTGGTGAGAGGAAGATGTGGATGGGAAATGATTATAATAATTGGGGAATAGAGATGATGTACCCTGTCAACAAAAACTTATCGAACACTGGGCACGATGGATGTGAGAATGAGTAGAATGGGTCTTGTCATCTCGGAATGGTTTCAGGTTCTTCTTTCACTTTACAGATTGCAAAGTGCATATTGCGTTTGATAAATTTTTGGTGAGAGTGCACATCAAGATATAAGGGAGTTAACAGTAGAATAGAAGGCAGAAACAATAATTGAGGAACAGAGAAGGTCATGGAATAGCATGGCAATATCAGATTAATACAATGACTATGATATATTTTTCAGCAACCATACCTTAATTACACTTGAAGCTCAAGGTTTTAATTTAAGGTTTTCTTTATTTCAACTCTATTAAATGAAGGAGGTTGAAACAAAACAGATATTTGGACTCTTTATTGATGCATTGGGACAACAATGGTACTGTACTGTACAGCCCAAAATACTCACAAGAATTATTCACACAAGGTACAGAGTTTAGCCCTTGTAATATTAAGTGTGGAGGGAGGTTGGAGATTACTGGGCCATTAGTTAGGAGGTTGGAGTGGTCTGAGAGGTGGCAGAGGATTGAGGGAATATGGATGAAGCTTTGAGGGGGAAGATATGACCTAGGCTACCATTAACTGCATGGAAAGCCCACAGAGAAGGGATAGGTAAGGAGCAAGAGGGAATGAACATTGGAAAGGTTGAGGAATACTTTGAGGATTTGATAATATGGAATAGGGATATGAGGAATATGTATAAAAATTAAGCAATAAGGCCTTTTTCACACAAGCATTTTTTTGTCATGTGACTTAAATTTCAAGGAAGTTCAATGGACGTTTAATAGAACTTCATTGATTTCCAAGATTCACTACACTTGATCACATGATAAAAAAAAACATTCATGTGAAAGAGGCCTAAGAAAGGGCAATGGTCAAGGGAAATGGATGAGCAGAAAATAATATAATGGTAACTCACTCAGTTCTCCAATAGGGAACTCTTTTTTTTTTTTTTTTTAGCCCACCTGAGCACAGGTCACTGACCCACATCAGGGCCTGTGGGGGCAAAGATATAATAATAATAATTAATACAGTTAATAAAAATAGATACAAATTATATAAAAAAATATATAAATATTAATAACCATAATTAAATACAAAAACAATAAAATATATCAAGAGTGAGAAACGATATACAGTATGTTGTGTTGTCAATAGTAAGAGAATTAATTGAAACCCTGAAATTGTTTATAAATAAGGTAGAAAGTCAGATCAGCAACCTGGGACTTGGTCACAATTTTTGTGATGCCATATGGCAGCAGGGTCTACCATTAGACAACACATTATGCTTCCAATACCTATTACCTATTACTGTAATGAGTTATTAGAACTGTTGATCCCTACACTTCCAAGGAAATACTGATGGTCTGGAATGGAATACTGTACAAAAACTGTTTCACCATTGGGTTTGGGATTAACTAGAATAAGAGGATCTTTGGAACTGTTTTCAAATGCTAAATATGAAGAAGTTTACCTTTTACCTTTTTTATTAATGGTTGTTTTCTATTGTACAAATAACTTAATTAAGTTAATAGAAACCTGGAGTGTGTGTGTGCAGCACACAATGCATTAAATAAACAACCTAAATGAGTTTTTAGACAATAGATGTTGAAACATGTGAATATATTGGGTTATTTAAACAAGCTGTTGCATCTTTGTCAAGAATCTTAATGGTTCAGAGTTGAACAGGATAAATGATCAAGTCTTTTTCCTGACAATATTTTTGAATAGCTATTTAGCTTCACCTTGTGACATCCTCACTTCCCGATTTCTTTTGCTGGCTGGAATACAAGTATCACAGGTTAGTTATAACAATAATAGGTTTGAAATGGAAGATTTAATAATAAAATTAATTTTGTAAATGAGCAGTAGATATGAAAGCTCTAGCTTTCCCAGCTAAGTTGGCAGGAAAAGATGGGCATAACCACCTTACAGTATAGTTCTTACATTTATTGCACTGGCATGTACTTTAGCCTGGTTACCTTAATGCTTCACTGGCTTTCAAAACAACCCCTGTTCTAAGGTTTTAAAGCTTTGCTCTAACATTGGGTCAGTTGGTGAAAAACTGTAAACAGCATTATTATCAACCTGATTGCATTGCATTACCTGCTACTGAAGCATGTAAAGCCTCCTGGACAGTGCAGGTGGGTCTGGTGATAGTATCCCAGTACACATTTCTTACTTCTTCAATGAAATCGATTCCATACTTCAATCTTCCAGTTTTCACAGAAAAATCATGGGTTTTTATTAGTTATTATACTTATAATTTGTGTTTCTCTTAATAGGAAAATTCTTTGATAGTTTAAATTGTTGCTAAGGAAATTCTTAGAAAATTACATTGTATACATGTTGTTGTATTCAAGTTATAGAAGGGATAAGTTCCTGAAAAGTTAACCATATCATAAAATCCCATTAATCAAAACATGTTTTCCCCATTGACATCCATTATATAATTGGAGATGCACACTAAAAGGACAAAAAAAAAATCCCCTGAAACTTACTGGAATAACTCCTAAGACTCTTTAAAGATACAGATACAATTCCTTGAAACTGGATCTCAGAAAACTAGAAATTCTCAAAAACCATACATTTTCTTCCCTGGATTAGGTTAAATTTATATCCCTTGCTCTGTCAAGTTTTGATTGCACTCACACAAATTCAATTGACTGTTTGTTTTACTTCTTAAATAACAAAATACAGAAAAAATAATTGTATGCATAATTTAGATAAAAAAAAAACATGTTAAATACAATACAGTATACTACTGTATTCTGTATTTAGAAGTGGAGACTTCTCTAAAGAGGCATTAAATTGTTAGGTTGTTTACATCCTAGCAGCTTCTAATGAGTTTGTTCATTTGCCAGAAGTAGTGAGTTTGATTGAATAAATAGCTTAATACCTTAATTATCTTCATATGTATTTATTCATATTGTTTTCACAAAGCTTTTGAAATTAATATTGGTCAAATTAAACCAAAGATTCAAGATAACTTATGCCAGATGCTACTTGTTCTCACTTGTGTTTAGTAAAAAATTGGAGCAAACAAGATTTATACTTCTTTTTTTACCAGAAAATAACAGGAATTTTTTTTAATGCATATATTTCTTCTATATACAGTATACAAAAACTCCTTCCATACATTTCTGTTTCCATTAATTCAAATTCCATAACTTTAAGGTTAGCTGTAATTAGGAGTAATGGAGGTTAATTACTTAAGAGTTTGTGTAACATATTATTACAAAGCAGTGAGACTGATAATAACTGTAAACTTTAGTTGAAATTTAAGGAATGCATTTATGATAGTCCACAAACATTACCATGATTTATAAAATAAATTCCTTTTTTATTTTAGATTCTCCCCCAGTTCCAGACGGGCAGCCATTTATAACTGTAACTATCTCTGAACCAAGAGTTACAGTTGCAGCAGTAGGTTCAACTGTTCAGTTCCAGTGTTCAGCACGATCTCTAAGTGCAACTCAGGTTAGTTTTTCATTGGAAAATTATGTTTTATCATAATTATAAATTAAATTTCTTTGTATACATTTAACTATTTGTTACATTGATATCACTGTGAATGGTGCAGGTTGAACAAGAGCTCTAAATATTTGTTATATTATGAGTGTGTAATGTAGTTTTCACATTTCCATTACGAAGAATAGAATTATTCCAGCTAAATACCAGGGATTATACTGAAATATTTATAACCATAAAATTCTTATACAGTGAACCCTCACTTTACACGGTCAATTGAACCCACGGCGGCCCGCGTAAAGTGAGAAACGCGTAAAGTGAACAACATAACATATGGGATTAATTGAAATAGAGACTGGGCCAACCCCCAAACTCCACTTTTTCAGACACAATACCTACGTTGTAGTAAAAATAACTTCTTAATTTTATGATGGTATGCACACACAATTAATAATTAAGAGAAATATCAATAAAATTAGGTTTTTTAACACTTACATTAGTAGAAAAGATGGCTGGGCACACGGGGATGGGGGGTTGGTTCCGAGGCAGAGGGCAGATTATTGGCCCTCACCTGTATCACTTGTATCAATTGTATCACTATCCACCACAGAGGCTTGCAGGGCCTCTTTGTCAAACCCCTCAAAGTCCATATAAGTCCATATTCTCACTATCATTATCACTATCACTGACTTGGGCCGGCTGTGGTGGGTGGCGGGTGAAGAACTAGGTAATGTTTTGATGTGTGGGCGAATTTGTGCGCACCCTGCTCGCGCCGCTCTCCACATAAAAGGGTACACACACCGCGGAAAGTGAGCATTCCGTGTTCGGCAGGGTACCGCGTAAACGTGGAAACGTGTAAAGTGGGACCGCGTAAAGCGAGGGTTGGCTGTATACCATAATGAAAGATTTACAAAATCATTAAAAAAACATTTTTATTGATTTTTGGTGATAAATATATTTATTATTTATAATAGCATTAGTATACAGTATACCTGTATCAGGTAACATATGATTGAGATGTTGGTTTACCAAATAATAAATGTGTGGTTAATTGTGTTATCTTATTTAAAAACACCATGAAAAATATTTCATTGGACTATTTTTCTCTGGTGATACCTGCATATGGAAATATATATATGAATTAAATACAGTAACAAAATGGAAAATTTACTTTTCTGCAAGAGGGTGTCAGTTCTTTAATGAAATAACTTAAATATTTCTGAGCTAGTGCTTTCCCAGTGAGAATTGGTTTAAAGGTCAGATATGAAAGTGGATGTGCAGGGGCAGATCCAGGAATATTAAATGGGGGGGTCCAAGAAGTTGTGAGTGGGGGAACATGGAGAGTACAGCGAGCACACCCAGCTGGGGGATTTTGAGGGGCACCGTAAACCCCCCCGAAATATTTTTGAAATCTGACCAATATCATGGGCATTTTGAGGCCATTTTGAGCCATGTACACTTGATATTAGAAGACATTCTGAGGTTAATAGTAATTACTTTTTACTCTACAAAAATGTCTTGAGTACAATACAATACTGCATTAAAGAAAAGGTTTTGGGATTTTCTGATGAAAAGGGGGGTCTAGACCCCTAGGACCCCTCTCCTCCCTGGATCTGCCCTTGATATGATATTCATACACTCTGTAATCACATAATCTCTATGAAGAAATTAAGGTGTGAATTAATTTGTTATGCAAAATAAATTATATTATATACTGCATGCTGCTTTCTTTACTCTCCACAGAATCTAGTTTCTGTCACTTGGAACAAGGCTGGTGGCGAACTACCGTATGGAAGAGCATCAGACAACCGTCGTGGTCTTCTTGTGATCTCTCGGGTACTGTAGATTTATTTTTATGGTAACATGATTATATCCTTTGATTGAAAACACAGTAATTTCTGTATTTTGTATACTACTTATTATTCCTAAATATACCTTTTGTAGTTGGTATATATTCATATACAGTGAACCCTCACCCAATGCATGGGTTAGGTTCCTCGAAAACAGCGCGTTGGGCAGACTTAACTACTTAAGGGAAAAAAGGGGTAGTGGGATCGTGGCCGCGTATGGACTCTCATCATGTGAAATGCATACCTTTTAAACATTCACATAATGCACAAATATGATAATAATAAAACTAACAAACCATAAAGAATTAAAAATATTAATGATAAGCATTATAAAACCATATTACTGTACTCACCGATCTATGGCTAGATGATTGTAGTGTAACTATGATGATGATAATATCGTAGATGTTGTGAAGCCTTCTGATGACTGTGATTGATGAAGAAGACTTCGATGATGATGAAACTGGAATGATTTTTATTTCTTAAGCTGATGGATCATCAGCTTCAGGCTCCAGATCAGTAGATGATATTGATGGTTGGGCTTCATAGAGTTCTGGTTCAGCAGACGATGTTGATGGTTGAGGTGACCGCTGCCTCGAGAAGAAGTCTGTTATTTTCTTTTGTTTACTTTTTCTTTGCAAGTCTTTCAAATATCGTCAAGGGCCCTTTAGAACTTTAAACTTCTTTCCATTATTGGATCTATGTCGAAACACTTCTCACCAAGTTCAATTGCTTGCAGGAGGAATTCATAGATGACCTTAATTGTTAATTTAGGTGTTATGGGTTCCACTTCAGCATCATTACTTTTACTGTCATCTGCTATAAGTTCTTCAAGCTCCTCATGTATTGGTTCTTGAAAATGCAAGTCCAACAGTTCATGCACCTACTCTTTCTGCATGTCATCAAAACCTCCAATTTCCTTTGCAAGTTTCACAATTTCTGCTATTCCTTGTCAACCATCGAAAATTCCCTGAAATCGTGAAAATTTTCAGGCCAAAGTTGGTGCCAGCAAGCGTTCATGGTGGAAGGCTTCACTTTATCCCAAGACATTTTTATAATGTCAAAGCAGTCTTTGATATTAAATGCCTTCCAACATTTTTTGGTAGTACTGGCACATTGGGCACAGTAATCTTTGGACAAAAATTTTAAGAAAAAAGTGCATCCTATATGCTGACAAATAGAGTACAGTGGGGTATGCTATAACGAACGTAATTGGTTCCAGAATCTCGTTCGTTATAGCATTCGTTCGTTATAGGATTAATCCGTTCCAGGCCCCCAAATACAACCGCTTAACACTGAAAAAATTCTGTGGAAAATGTAAAAAATACGGTACTTTATCTTACCTTAGTGTTATTCAGCATGCAGGTACCCCTAAACACTGGCACATCACTATCACTTCCACTGGGAGTCTTGGCTTTAAGGTCCTCAAACAATTGTTTAGCCTTCTCACAAATTATAGCTTCACTAATGTTACCACCTGCCATTTCTTTCTCCTTTATCCACACTAAGAGTAAATTTTCCATCTCTTCAATCACATTACACCTTGCTTTGCTAAGTCTAAAGATTCCCTTAGCCACTTGCACAGTTTTTAACTTCTCTTTATTCTTCAAAATCGTACATATAGTCGATTTAGCCATCCCATATTCATCACTAAGTTTCGCAATGCTTCTTCCATTCTCACGTTTCTTTATAATTTCTTTCTTAGTTTCAAGGGTTATTAGCTTTCTCACTCGCTTTGGACGACTCATTGTTACAATTGTATACTTGTATAACAAAATAGTTATACAAATAACGCGAATTTCCACATCAAAAGACGAAATTTCAACAATAACAGTGGTGCACTGGCTACACAATGAGACAAAGATGGCGCCTGACGCTCTTGTTGTGGGTCGCGGTACAACAATATTCATGCGCCAGGCGAAATAGTCCGGTATTCATCCGTGTTCGTTGTAGGAGTTGCGTTCGTTATAGCATTCTCAATTTTATAGGTAAAACCGTTCGTTATAGGAATATTCGTAGTAGGATCCGTTCGTTATAGCATACCCCACTGTACGTACTTATGAAAAGTTACCATAGTTGCATATTAACAAGATATTAGTAATGCTTTAACATGTTTATAAAAAAATATGAGCTAAACCCAAACTTAGTTCCAAATTCAAATACTGTACTTTAATAGATCTGAAGATATGTAATTAATTTATGTTGACCATTATAGTTATATCCATTATTTATAATTGACACCCAAGACTCCTTATTTCCCTCATTGGGGAGGAGGGGGGTCTGTATGCCATCCTAGATCCCCCCCTGTTACCACCCCTGAATTTAATACTGTACTGTGTTTTTGTACAGTAGTACTAAATGAGACATTTTCAATTTCATTCTAGGTTCAAGTGACAGACGGTGGCACCTATATCTGTGCAGCAACAGATGGCCTTGGCAGAGTGGTAACACAGAATGCTACTCTTACAGTGGGAGGTGAGAAATTTTAAATTAAGTTCATTATGTATTTTGGTAAATCTACTTTATGGATTTTCATGGGAAGCAGGAAATATAATCGTCTGTCTCATTAGATTCGTGTACAGTAATTCTCTCACCTTATATGAACCCATCACTCATGATGCACCTTTCACAATTAGAATAAATTTAGTGGGTTTTTTTTTTATATCCTTCATATCTACCTTACACTTTTCACAGGTATCCCTGAAAAGTAATGAAGAAACCTAAAAAAAAATAAATAAATAAAAAAAACTTTTCGGTAAAAAAAAATAAAATACTTTAATAATCTGCATGTTAATGATGTGGTGTAAATTAAGACAGTTGTAAAAAGAAAATTTGTACATTCATAATTGTGTGCTTTGACCTTACTCGTGGCTTAGCAACTGAAATTTGAATATAAAGTACATAATCCAGGATAAACTGCATAAGAACAACTTTAAGCTCTGCAATTACTCATACATTTTTATTGAAACATCTGGATACATATCTGAATGATATGCCTTGGAGGAGCAACTGGTTGATCAAGTATTTTTCACAAAGCTGAATTAGTTGGACTTCCTGTTCAGCCATAAAGTAAAAGCTAGAGGTTACCCTTCGGCCATTGTCCAGTATATACAGAACACACACCCCAAAAAGTATCTTAACAGAGGAGGCCAGTGAAGTTCAAAATGAACAATATGACTCCTGTTGTACTGGAGTCATATTGTTTAACACAAAATTGCAAAGATACTTTTTGGAGCATGTGTACATACAACAACTGTATGGTAATCATCTTGATAGGGTTACATATGGTTTGTGTTCACAAAATGTTTGGTTATAAGGTATTGGTCTAACTGTAGGTAGAAGGCAGCTATCAAACAGGGAGGTACTACCGCCTGGGAAGATATTAGAAGTATCATGTGTTGTCTAATGGTAGACCCTGCTGCCATATGTGACCAAGTCCCAGGTTGATGATCTGACTTTCTGCCTCATTTACACACAATTGCAGGGTCTCAATTGTTTCTCTTACTATTGACAACACAACTTACATATATCATTTCTCACTACATTACCAGGTATATTGATATTTTTATTTTTTGTTTTTGTATTTATTTATGGCTCTTTATTATTACAGGGGGTATTATTATTGTTATTATTATTATTTATAATTAAAAAAACTATTATTATTATTTTCTTTTATTATGATTGTTATTCATTTTTTAAATATTGTTATTAATTTTATTATTGTTATTATTTTTATTATTATTTTCTTTTATTATAATTGTTATTTATTTAATATATTTTTATTACTTTTATTACTATTACAGTACAGGTATTATTATTTTTATTATTTTTTTTATTATATTATATTATATTATATTATATTATATTATATTATATTATATTATATTACATTATATTTTTGCTCCCCAAGTCCTTGATGTGGGTCATTAAAAATTGCCTGTGCCCAGGTGGGCTAATGCCCGTAAAAAAAAAAATTTGACCCACTCCTCACTTACTGTATAGGAACCTAAACAGTTATCCCTTTCCAAGTGCAGGAGTTGCATTTTAGAATTATCCCATGGTTGGCTTAGCATAATTATGGTCAGAAGGGCAAGGTCTCATGGGAAATGAAGTCTTAAGGGAAGTGACCCATTAAGGTACTGTACAGTCCTTTAAAGTACAATTCAAGGTAAAAATCAAGTACAGTACATAGAGAATACTATACAATAATACCTTGCAAAGCCCCGTTAATGCTACTTCGCTTTAGCACTATTGATCCTGGAAACAATTTTTAATCTAAAACCTAAAAAATTTTGTGATCCATAAAAACAGTCAAAAGTTATGAGTTCAAACACATACCCTTTACTGACACCTGCCATCTTGAGTTTAACAATCAATATTATGTACTGTATAGCTAAAATAAAATTAATATACAAATAAGCTTCAAATGATTATACGTATATATACAGTATAATGCAAATGAAAATAAAACATCACAGTGTATAATCATAGAATACCAAAATATAATAATACTAATGTCATTCACGAGCCCCATATTGGTATTATTATTTATTTTTTATTTTTTTTTATGGCAAAAAATAAGAGTAAAAAGAAATTAAAAATACAAAAGAAAAGATTATATCAATCTACACCACGAAGATGCCAGAAAACCAACTTTTTGAAGTGAGACAGATTGTATGAGTATGGAAACACAGAAGAAGGCAGAGCATTCCACAGTTTGGCTGTTTGAGGAAAGAAGGATGTACTATAACGGGTTATTCTAGTGTGAGCGACATCCACAAAGAAACAGTGGGCACCGCGGGCAAGACGAGTGTTACGAGCTGTACACAGGATGCCAAATCCACCTAACATTGTCCGTTAAAGTACCTATAAAAGAGAGACAGTGAAGCAACATTGCGGCAAAGAGAAAGGGAAGAAAGATTATAAAACTATAGGAGGAAAGTTAATAAGACGAAATGTTAATGTAGGTGGAGAAATTGTTCTAGAACCTATTCAATTATTCTTAGGATCCACTGAATAGTGAGTGCAATATTTTATATTCAGTCCATTAGCTTACTCCCTACACTTGTGAATCAGAGACCAAGTGTTTGAGTATCATTGCTGTGAAAAATAAATTCCTGCAAGGGGGAGGATTTTCTGACAAAGCTCTTTGAATCGAGAAATGTAATATGTATATTATCAGTGTGCCTCACATATACTCAGTTACGTGAACTTTTTATGCAGAGCATATATAGTCTTTAACGGGGATGCGTGAGGGCTTCAAGAAATAGGCTTAAATAATGTACTGTAGAGTAAAACAACTCCAAACACTACAGCAGTAGAATTTAGTCCCTGTAGATTGTAATGTATCAATTAAAGCAGCACTTACAGTAACCAAATTCAAATTTTGTGACTTCATTTGGACCCCTAGTTGTGTAGAACACAGACTTATGATGGTGCAGGGAACATGGTTGGGGAAACCAATTAGTGTGCAGCAAATTCCCAGAAAGGGGCTCCTACCTCTTTGCAAGCCACAGCCTCAACCTGGCCCTGGGCAAAGCATCCAAGCTCCCAGAGATGACAAACATTATGTCCAATGTGTAGGCACTCGGAATTTACTTCAAGTATTCACCAAAATGACAGCTACCTCTGGGGAAAGCACTGCACACACTCAATGCAGAGAGAAAAGGTCAGGAACAGCCATTAGTGAAAGCAGAGAAAGTGAAGCTTCTCTGTGAAACAAGGTGCTACATAGCCTTGGAGAACTTCCATCAAGTGTACGAAGCCATCCTCGACTACCTAATGGGAATCGCCCATAATGAGGGCCATAGATGGGATGCCAAGACTGAGGCAAATGTGCTGTTGTATTCAATTACAAGCTCACAGTTTATCGCAGCATTCCAAGTGAATCGCGAAGTCTTAGCCTACACCAAGGGCCTGAGTCAGCTTCTGTTTACTGAGCCTGCAGATCTTTAAAGGTTACATAAACTCAAAATATGTCTGTGTGCATGATCCACGAATATGCTGATAACCACAAAGGAATTAGTAAATATGAAATTCCCAATGCCTGAACTGTGTTGCATTGGCCAGAGGATGGTTTGAGTGTGGAAAGAGCAATTTTTTTTTTACATAAAATATGTGCTATTGTATTTTATTATATACCTGTACTATGTAGCAATTTTAATGTGGCAGCTCTTCACCATTGCGCGTGGTATTCAAACTTACTATTCTTGCCAATTTGAGAGGAATTTTTATTGTTATTACTGTTCATTTTTGTGCCGGTGAATTAAATCTACCCGAGATTCTACTGTGTGTGTATTACTTAAAGGGTGTATACCTGCACATAACGACATTAGTATTATTTAATTGTATGTGTCAAAGTTATACAGTATTCACTACCTTTTCCATCGTGTGTAGTGCATCCTCAACAAAATACTGTACTGACTATGCACTCTGAATTTAACATGTTTCCTTTTCCTTTTCTTCTACTGCTTACCTTGATGATGAACTTGTTCCATTGATCGCCACAACCCTGATCATTATGACTTAAACACAACACTACTACCACCCTCACCATCTCCGCTACCCCCTGCATCTAAGTTGGGCATATAGGAGAACCTGGGAGAAGTGGAACTCGGTGTGGTGGTGCCTTGTCCCCCCTGCTGTTCCTTGTCTCCCTCCTTGTGGGTATGGTGGCGCTCCTCCTGCCTCCATGCGCCTCCACCACTGGTAACACTTCTTGTCCCTGCCTGTTTCTCACCTTGGCTGACTTTGCATGTTCTTGTTGTAATTTGCCTACAGATTTCATCATGTTTTGTTTTGCTGTGTCATCAGAGAATTAGAATATTTCACATACACTATATAATGTCATGTGTAGTACTGTACTTATCATCAATGTTTTATGGCCATTTTCCATGTTTGTGTGGGTTAACTGGAATTACCTGATGGCAACTGTTGGATAAATTTAGAACAGGATGCCCCCCACTCACCACTAGAAACCCAGGGCATCAGCCCCCAAAATACAACAGAGACTAGGAGATGGGCACAGTTCAGGTGACCCAGTTGCCATCAGGAATTTTAAAGCAAAATTTTATGGCTGGTTACCCTTCCTAATCAAGAGGATTATCAAAATTTTATGATTACCTGAATTTAAGGACTATTTATCAAAACTGCATGACCTCAGAAATCCAGGGAATGTTGGGACTACGACTTTTTTTTTTACATGGTCGCTACCCCTGTACCCATTCCCTATGAACCCATTAACAATTTTAGGTTGAAGCTCCCTAGGTAAAGTACTGTTCAGTCAATGGTGCACTGCAGAATTTAAAAAAAAATAAATAAAATAAAATGAAATATCATGCATTGTATTGGTTATTTCATGGAAACATTAAAGCACCTCACCAAAGTAAACAGTTGTAAACATATGAAAATTCGGTGACATAGACATAGAAAGTGCCATGGTTGCATAAATAAAGCTATCATAAACTATTTGTGCT